CGAGACACAGACGGAATTAGAAAAAGCTTGATGAGAGAGTGAGAGGAGACGAGGAGACGCAGAGATATGAAGATGTTGAACGAGAAGGAAAAAAATGGAAAGAGCAACTGCCTTAGGAATAAAACGGAATACTGCTACCTGGAGAAAAAAGACATATAAAATTTATCACTTTTTCTTTTTGATACAAAATTAGAAAAAGGGCAAATGACCTTTTTGCATAGTTCAATGAGTTCATGAATTCTAAGATCCGGAAAGAGTTCAGAAGGAGACAACCAACGGGAAGATGAACACACAAAATAAGTCTGGGAATTTTTTAAATATTTTTTTGATTTTGTTTTTATGGAATTTGTGAACATAGAATCTTCTTCAAAAAATTATTTAGATTTTCAGAATCTTTCAAACTTGGAGCTTCCAAATTGCACGACTAGATTTTTAAACAGTTTTATGAACCAGACATTTGGAATTTCATTAGCCACTACCGTATTTGCTCTAATAGATTCCCACCCTGTACGTGCAGCTCCATTATCTCGGTTTCTATGAGAGATATCAATAAATGATCTATTGATAAAATGTTGGTGATATTATGATAAACATTTTATCATTCGATCACTTTTTGATATCTTTTACAGGAACCGAGACAATCGAGCTCAAAATAAACGGTTTGGGTACTGTTCTATTAGAGAGCTTACGGTTGAGCTTAGTTATCTCGGTCCAAGTAAAAGATATACAAAATTTAGCAACTGATAAAACATTTGTGATATTATGTTAAACATTTTATCAGTTGACAAAATTTTGACATCTCTAATAGGAAGCGAGATAATTGAGCTCACAGTGCACGTATTGGGTGGGCTTCTATTAGAGAAAATACGGTATTTAGCACCCAAAAGCATCAGATTTTTTTTCGAATTTCGATGATTCTTTGTGAAATCTTCAAAAGCCAGAAAAAATTTTCAAAGTTTCGCAAATTTTGAAATTTCTTTTTGGCTCATAGTTTCTAAAAATGACATTTCCAAATGAACCGATTATGCTTAATTAACCTCCCTCCAAAATGTCTGAATGTATTTTAAATTAGCTTTTAATTCGAAAATGGAACTTCCTGAATCTATTTTTGGGAACAAAGTTGATTGTGGTAAAGTTGGAAAGTATCCGAAAAAGAACCAACCACTTTGAAAGATATAAATTTTAGATTTTTCTCAAAAAGACCAAAAATTACCCTTGGGGTTCGAATTTGAAAATTGTTTAGATCAACTCATAAAATGCTTCAAACTCAATTTCAGAAAATATCAAGCCCGGAAAAAATTCCAGATGTTTTTTGTTTCAAAAGTCTGTGAACTTTAAACTACACACTTTCTTTTGAAATCAGACATCAGAATATCAAAAACGTGGACCTATTTTTGAAATTCCAGATACCACGCCACTTTTCTAGTTTGTGTTTCGGATTTTGCATTGCAAATCCTAAAGTCAGATTACACAGACTGAATCCAGGATTTCAAAGATTTTTGGGGGTTTTAGTTTACCAGAATTTACATATTCGCCATCTCTCAATTTCCGTGATTGGTATGGAATTTCAAAAATCTTTATTAAAATATGACTATTAAAATATGACTTAAGAAGGAAAAAGGGAGAGAAGTGCACATTATTTTGTAGTTGACTGGGGAAAAAAGAGGAAGAGAAAAAGGAGAAAGCCCCCAATTATATTATATTATGGTGCATCTTTCCACAAAAATGCAGACAATCAAGGATTATCCAGAGTAGATTAAATGGATGGAGAAGAAAAAGAAGAAGGAGAAGTCGAGAAAAAAAATAATATGAAAAAAAGAGAATGAATGAAAAAACGCCACGGGCAATCGGAACAAAAGGTGTATAGGTTCTCTGATGATGACTCTTTTTTCGTACTTTTTTGACGACTTTTCCCACTAGAGAAAAGAGCAAGAAGAAATTAATATATAGGTAGTGCGGTTGTTCTAAAATTTTTTGAGAGAAAATTCAGCTTCTGCTGGTACAGGGGACATTTTAAAAAAGTTTTTCGAAATTGCGTTATTTGAAGCCCACCCAAGCCATCAACTTTGAGAAAAATTATCTCTTTGCCTGTAAAAGATATCAAAAAGTGGTCCACTGGTAAAATGTTGGTGATTTTATGATAAGCATTTTGTTAGTTGACACATTTTTGATATCTTGCATGGGAACTGAGATAAACGAGCTCAAATTTGAGGGGGGGGGGACATTTTTTATTTGAAAAAGTTTTGTACAAAAATTATGTGGGTTCACATTCAAACAAAGAAAAGATTTCAGAAAGAAGAAAAGCGCATTGAAAAAGCGAAGCGGAATCTGAAAGTGTTGGAAATAATTCAGGTTTTCAAAGATTTTTGAATCCCAGATCCAGTAATCGTGAATAGGAAACTTTGTACAGTATCCTCGAAGTTTTTAAATAAGATCCTCATAAAATTCCACATTTCCTAAAAGAAAGAACTTAATTTCTCCAGATTTATCTGGTCTAGAAAATTCACATTCGCTCGCCAGCCACCGTATACCACTTCGCTATTTTGATGCGGTTTTTTGTCATTTTATGATTTTTTTTTTTGAATTTTCACTTTTTTAAAATTTAATGTACATGATTTTTTGCACAAAAAAAGCAATAAAAATTCCGCCGTACACCACATTTAAAATCCAGAGATCAGATTGAGAAAATCCTTTAAAATCAGAAAAATGTGTAGGAAAAAGGTGTTACGTAGTTTCTGATTTTCCAGGAATTCATACATGGATTTTATGATTGAAAATACAATTTTCAAAATCAGATTTTTTCCAGAATTAAATTTTTTGCATTTGCATTTTTCTGGACACAGAATGATTGGTTTTCAGGGAAATTTGAATTTTGAAGGCCCAGAATCTTTTAATTCGAGGATTTCTAGACCTAGAAATGTTAGAATGGTAAAATTTCAACAGTCGGAAAAGTTTGTAATCTCAGAACTTTAAAGTTTATGAATCTCAAATTATGAAAATCCCAGATTAAAACTTTCAGAACTCTTCGGAATTTTGGAGTTACAGTATCTTAAAACCTCTAGTTTTCAGAATTTCAGAATTTTTAAATGCGAAAAACTCAAGAAATCAACCTTAATCCCACATTCCTGAAAACTTCTATTCCTTTGATCCTTGTCCTAAAAAAAGAAAGAAAGAATGTTGGAAGAATTCTTTTTTTCATATTCGGAACACTTTTTGTCTCGTTCCAAAAACCTTTTCTAATCCCTTTTTGCTAAAATCATAGACTTGTTTTCCCTCTTTTTTCTTTTTCTTTTTTATTTTTCTTGACGAATTTCGTTTTTGAGCTGGAAAACTAAGAAAGGTTTCATTTGATCCCCACAGATTTTGGAAAATGTGAACAAGGGTCAAAAAGTCAAATTTTGGGGATTAAGACTGGCAGAAGACGTTCAATTTTAATGTTAATCTGGTTTTTAGAAGAAGATTCGCGAACAATCCATTACGGACGCTCCGCGTTCGCGCGCGGTTGAAATAGGAACCGCATACGGACCGTATCCGTTTGGTCATGATTCGCAATCGGATCGGATACGGAGCTCGCAAACGGACAGGATACGGATCAATCCGAATAATGTACTGATATTTACTGAAAACGGTTCGCGTACGGTCCGTATGCGGTTCCTATTTCAACCGCGCGCGAACGCAAAACGTCCGTAACGGACCCGTTCGCATTTTACCTGTGGTGGTGTTCCTGATCAAGGTGTGCAGAGCTAAGTTTCAGAATTTTGAAAGTTTTCGAAACTTTCAAAAATCTGAGACTGTAGTCAATAATTCGAGTGGTATTGGAATTTTCATATATTTGAAAAAAATTTGAAAATAAGGAAAAAGTGAGATTCAGCGATTTTCAGGTATTAACACTTTTCTATTAAAAGTAAATTTAAAACTTCTAAACTGATGAATTCGGAATCTTTAGCTCTAAGTTTTGACGGTGCTGAAAATGCTAAATTCTGAGTTTCGGAGGTTTTCAAATTCCGTTGTTGGGAGAGTCTCAGATTCCAAAGAATTCTGTATTTTCAGAGATTTCTTTCAGGATTTCGAAACTTGGAGAATCTGAGTTTCCTAAACTCAAAATGTGGAAGTCAAAATTTTTGAGATTCTTAGGATTCGAGAAATTGTGATACATGAGGTTTTTGAGGTAAATAGGTTTTGTAATGCTTTAGTTTTGAATTTCTCAGGTTTTGAAATTTCGAAAGATATTCAATGGATTACCGTAAGACCTGTAATAGAACGATCCCACACTGTCAAGTTTGAGCACAATTATTTCGGTTCCTATAAGAGATATCAAAAATTAATCAACTGATAAAATGTTTGTGATAATATATTAAACAATTTATTAGTTGACAACTTTTCCTGATCTTTGGCAGGGACCGAGATAAACTTGCTCAAAATTAAAAGTTTAAGGGTGCTTCTATTACAGGTTTCACAGTAATTACGGTTTACAGAGACACTTGAATTGTTAGAGATCTCAGATTGAGATCCATTTTCATAAGAAAGTAAATAATTTTAAGGACATGAATACCATAAAACCTGTATTAGAAGGGCCGGCCCTTATATTTTTCCAAGGTACCTCCGGATGGCCCTTCTATTACAGGGGCTCTTCAATTATCGGGAGCCCTTCTTTTTTCCGGCCATTTTTCTTGAAATTTTTCATCGAAAAATTCGACGAATTTTTGTTCAAAATTTATGAAAATCTGTTTCGTTTGAATTGAGCAAATTGTCTAACAAAATAAGTGTTTCAATAAATTTATTGTGAAATTTCCGGAATATTTTTCACTGAAAATTTTTTATTACGTGGGTCCTTCTATTACAGGGAAGCCTTCTATTTTTCCAAACCCCTCTTGGAGGGTCCTTCTATTAGAGGAGCCCTTCTAATACATGTTTTACGGTAAATGAAACACAAATGATATAACACCTGAAACTTGGGAACTCGATATCTAGAAGGCTCCTTATTTAAAACAAGAGCTTACCATTCATTCCATTGTCTCAAATGTGAGATAACATTTTCCGGAATACTGGGAATCGTCAAAGAGTATCGTGCAAACGTATTCTTCATTATTGCTCCTTTTTTCTGAAAAAATAAAAACTTTTTCCTGGGATGACACTGGAGAGTCAGTCTCGCAAATCCAGAAAAAAAAGAAGTGAAAAGAACGAAAATGGAAAAAATGGAAGAGGAAAAAATGGGAGATAAAAACAACAACAAAAAGAACAACAGAAGGCAAAAAAAAGAAGGGAAAGCTGAAGGGATAAAAAGAGGAAAGAAGCGAGTCCGCTGCTGTTTGGTATGGCCAATTTTCGAGAAGGTTTTCCTCTCTTCAAAAGTCTCTTTTCTCTTTTTCTTCTTTCTTTTTTTCTGGAAGAACTTCTGACATGGTAATTGACGGGAATGAGGAAGAGGAACCTCCTTCCCAGAAGAAACACATTTAAAAATAAACTTTTTTATGGATCAATGCATTTTCCGGTTTTTTCCTCGGTGAGAAAGAGTAGGATTAAGAAGTCGTATTGAAGGAAAAAGACGAGAAAGAAAAAAGAGAGATGAAAAATATTTGAAAAATGTATTGCACTTTAATACTAGGTGTGCTACGTAATTCTCGTGCTTGATCTTCTGGATGGGTGGAGTACAATTCTTTTGGGATTCTGAAGAAAATGGGAATTGTTTTGGAATTTGGGAATTTGGGCAGCGGATATAGAATAAATAGAGTCCGATGAAATAAAAATTTTTGGATTTTCGGGATTTTTCAAAAATTCGGAGTTATTTTGAAATTTTTCGTTATTTGTAATTGCTAGATTTTTCAGATATGAAAACGATTTGTGGATTACTTCAGAACTTTCTGAGTTTCCAAAGATTTTGGATCTTTTTGGAAATTCAAGATTTTTGGAATTTTCAAGCTTTTTGTTGTACATTCAGAATTTCAGTATATATTTTCATTTCAAAGTTCCAAATTTTCAGAATCTCAGAATCTCAGAATCTCAGAATCTCAGAATCTCAGAATCTCAGAATTTCAGAATCTCAGAACTTCTTGAAGTGTTGGATTTTTTCGGAACTTCTAGGTTTAATGAATTTTCAAAACATTGGGATTTTTAGGAATCTCTGAATTTTTCTGTTTTTATAATTCTCGGATTTTTCAGGTTTTTTAGAGTTTTGGGAATTTCAGGATTGTTTTAATTGTTAGATTTTTCAAACTTTTTGGAATTTTTAGGATTTTTTCTGAATTTTAAAACTTCAGAAGTTCAGAGTTCCGGAATATTTGAAACCAATTGAACAGAAATTCGGTCAAAAACTGAACCATTTTAAAACTTTGAACCTAATCATTCCGACTAATTTCGGCTTTTCTTCCGAAAAAAAAGCTAATTTAAAAACAGAAGATCAACTTTTGTTTTCAAAGGAAAAAAGTGGAAAAAGTGAGATGGGAAAAGAGAAAACGAACAATAATTGGGGATAGAAGTGCAATTAAGATATCATTTAAATGTGAAAACTAATGGAAGCTGAGCAATTTCAAAATAGAGTTCTCAGTTTTTTCCTGTGAGCTGAAGAACAGTTATAGAATGCATTGGATATTGAAATGAAAATGAAATCATAGAATTTATAAATCTGGAACTATAGTAATCTTGGATCCTGACAATCTAACACTTTCACATTTATTTAAAAAAGCAAATCAGAAAATTTAGAAGTCTTTCAATCAGCGTATTTTAAATTTTAGAAAGTTTGAAACTTCATAATTTTCACTGAAATCACACGGAAACTTTTGATTTTTTTTGAAAGAGGCCCTTCTATTAGAGGGGTCCATCTAATACAGATTCAATGGTTATCACATAATTGTGGATTTTCGAAAACTTGAAATATTGGAATTTTTTGAGTTCTCCGGATTTCCAGGACAATGAAAATGCCAAGATGTCCGAATTGGAAATTTTTAAAATTTCAAAATTTCAGATTCTTGAAAGTAGATTTTTCTGAAGTCTCTTGAGGGTGAGAAAACAAGAAAAAACAACTTTTTCGAAATTTCGTCCATGTAAGCCCCTCGAGGAGTTCAACCTGTGGGGGCTACCAGCAGAGCTACGGTGGCTCAAGCTAAGGCGGTCAAGAGATGAGGTTTAAAAAAGTAGTCCGAAAAATCTCCTGCCCCCTCTTGTGAGCTCTAGACTCCAAAACTCATAGGAACATAAATAAATTAACGAAAATACCACCTAAATTTGAAAAACAATCTACCACTTTGTATCTCCATTGAGTCTAAAATAGAATGAAAAAAAAAACGAGAAATCGTTTCTCCAAACTCATATAAATTGTATTGTTTTGGGGTGGTCCCAACAAGAAAATGAAGGGGAAAAAACTGAAAAGAGACATCTTGAAAACCGAGACTCAAGACCCCATTTCCTTTTTTTTTTCTGTCCAATCCAAAGTGGGAAAAGCGTCTCTTGGACACTGAAAGAAAATATCGGTGAGTTCGAATTTCGGGAATTTCTAGACAAGAAACAGAAGAAGAAGAAGAAGAGACTGCTCCTCCACAAAAAAAGAATTTCTTCTCTTAAGAAAAGACTTCTCGGAGAGACCCCAATCGAATTCGTTCGCACGCTTCTCAATTTGACACACAAAACATCGACAGAATTCTTGAAAGATGAAGAGATCAAAAAGATTGAGAGACCGCAGAGAAATAGAGAGCAACATGCCAAATATGATTGATGTACAAGACATGGCCGAAAAAAACCAAGAAGAAAAATGAACCAAATTGCGTTTACTCCTTCTACGCTAAGAATAGATATATCGGGTCCTTTTTTTCGTCCACTCCACTTCGTTTTTTTTTTGAATTTTCGTTGACGGATTTTGAAATTGATAACAAAATTTGTCTGATTTCATGTAGAGAATACATTTTGTGTAAAAGACAGGCTGTTTCAGAATCTGGATGTGTTGAAAAGAATTCAGGTTTTCAAAGATTTTTTGAAGATACAGTAATCGTGAAAAAAACCAATACAGTAGAATCAAAATTTTGAAAGAGGATTCTTCGAAAAATTATATAAATGTTTCGAATATCCTGGAACTTTTGATATTTTTCCGATTTATCTAGACTTCCAGAATTACATAATTGATTAGAATTTTTGAGTAAGTTTATTTGAAGATTGTTGCTTTTTTAGTCGGCTTTTTAGTCCTTTTTTTTCAATTTAAACACAATCTGGCTTGTTTATCAATTTGAAAAATGTTTTGGGATCCTTGTTTTCAGAGAATCTCAGCTGTCTAATCTTGGGTAAAACGAGCCATTCCCTTACCAGAAAACTCTAATAGAAGTGCTAAGAATCTTCACCTTCCTTATACCGTAAAACCTCTAATAGAACGACACCCGGATCGTCCACTTTGAGCCTATATATCTCATTTTCTGCGAAAGATATCAAAAAGTGGCTAACTAGTAAAATGTTGCTGATATCCTGATAAACATTTTACTAGTTAACCACTTTTTGATACCTTTCAAAAGAAGTGAGATATATAGGCTCAAAGTGGACGTTCCGGGTGTCGTTCTATTAGAGGTTTTACGGTATATAAAACGCTAGAATAGTCTGTTGGCCAGAGTTCAAAAACGTCGATTTTGAGCCGAGTTATATCAATTTCAAACTTGTGGCCTAGAAACCCAAATTTGAGAAAACTTGGTTATGGCGTACATGGTTCAAAAGAGCATGATTTCAGAGTTCGGGATCAGTCCTTAGATTTGGAAAATGTCGTTTTTGAGCCAAATTATATCAAGTTTTGTTTGGTAGCCTAGAAAACCCCAAATTGCAATACCTAGTCCGCGTTCAAATCTATTTTCGAATTTCTAAACTATGTTTTAAGTTTTTCCATTTTGTCAAGAAGAGTTTGAAATATTTCGGAATTCGAGACTTCTGGTTTTGGTATTTAGAAGTTCTGAATTTCTGAGACTCCCAAATTTCAAAATTCGAAAAATTGGCAAATCCGAAATTTCGTTATAATCTAATCTTTTAAAAATCCTTTTTTTCCTGAAATTTCAAACTTCAAAACTGTAAAAAAAACAAGAGATATTCATTTGCAATAAATTAGAAAATTTACAGAGAATCTTTGATAAATTATACAGATGATGTGATGATGGAGACTACTGAAAATCACAGATCGAAAACATAGAGTAGGCCAAAAAGAAGTTTCTCTGAGGTATTTGACTGATGATTTTAGAGATCTTTTGAATGACAGAAAACAGTTTTAAACAACCTGTGAAAGAGAAGAAAAGAACGATGAGGAGCAGTTTCTAAATCCTAGAAAAAATATAACCGGTTCAAAAAAAGAAGGGGGAGAACGTGACTGGTAAAATTTGTGGAAATATACATAGACTTGATTATTTGATGCCTAGATTGAGAAGCAATGAATCAGACAAAATCGATTTCTAGAAATGTCCAGCTGGTGTTGGAGTTGATGCTCTGGAATTGAATTCTTGTGCCTCGGCAGCCTCTTTTTCTTGTTTTTTGAGCTCTTCGAATTCGGCTCTTGTCATTAGCATCTGCTTTTCGACACTGAAAACTTGTTCAGGCTCTGGTTTATATTCCAGGTACTCCTCGAAAGCTTCTTGAACTGGTACATCTGGAGCGTCGCCATGAATGACTCCTGGAAATAAGAGGGGGATGAGAATCTGTTCGGAGTCATTCAAAGCTACAGTAAACCTTAAAGTAAAAAAGTACGGTTTATGAAACTACAGTATTTCCAGAAACGATTATCTTTGAAATCACAGTAAGCTGAAACTGCAGTGAACTTGAGGCTACATGAATCAGTACAGTAATCTACTGTGAGGCTTCTAGTCGGTCGGGAAATGTAACCGACCGACCGACTGCCGACCCTGTTGACCGACCGCAGATCGACTTGGCCGATCGGTCGACGCGCCGACTGAATTCGTGCGATTGCGCGTCAAGTGTTTGCGTACGCCGCATTGAAGTTTAAAAAATTTTAATGCATCGTGAAGTCAAATGCTGCGTACGCAGACACTCTCTGGGATGTTGACCCGAAAATTCATGAATTTGGTAAGCTCGGTCGACTGTCGGTCGGCGGTCGGCGGTCGGTCTGCTAAATTTCGAGATAGAATGGAAACCTTACAGTGAACTTTCAAAAGTGCAGTGTTTTCAAAACTACAACGCTACAAAACTACCGTATCTCCAGAAACGTCAATCCATGAAATTTTTGAAACAACTACAGTAAACTTGAGGCTACAGAAACACATGCACACCAAAACTAAGGTAATCATGAACCTATCGTAATTTTCAAAATACAATAATTTACTGCAATCCTTACCATCTTCAGTACAGATCGGAACGGTCGGCGGTGGTGGATTATCGTCGTCCATTGGATCCGCCGATGGATGTGGATATTTCCCCGGAAGGTCATGATAAACCTCAAGTGGATCACTAACTTCCAATGGATTACTCTCATCGTCTCCACTATGATATCCTTCTGAACGTCCTCTGGCGGCCATTGTATGAAGCCAGAGTTGATTGAATGCACAACCAGCAGTGATTCTTGAATCCGCATCCACATCCCACATATCCTCAGCCACTCTAGCGAACAAGCTCATCAATTCATGCGAAAGGACTGATGGTCGCCATGTTGGACGCATTTTATTAGTGATCACATGGGTTCTGACATCCTGAACTTTGGTATTCTGAAGTTCTGGATACGGTTGCTGGTATTCTGGAGATTCTGAAGGCAGAAGTTTTGTCCGATTGATAGTTTCCCACATCACAAGTGACATTGAATACACATCCATTGCTTTGAATGCAGTCGTTGAGAATCCTGTTGAAGCAGCAAGCATTTCTGGAGCCATGTATCGAGTCGTTCCAACTTGTCCAAGTAAATCACTTCTAGCAACTCCTGTCTTTTCGTAAATTCTGGCATATCCAAAGTCTGTGATACAAGCGGTGAAGTCAGATCGGACCAGGATGTTCCGAGATTTGATGTCTCTGAAAAAACAACTCTTTAGTTCCCGTTTTCTCGATTTTCATGATCCTCAGGCTAAAAAAAGGATTTCGAAGGATCAAAAGAACTCTCCTAATCCCAGAATCCATTAGTCAAAAAGGACTAAGTGATTTCAAATTGAATAGAAATGCAAAAAATATGAGATCAGTCATTTTTCCTTGCAGATGAGGACTTAAAAATTGGTGTGTAGCGTGTTGCGGGTGAGCGATAAATAAATACTTCCTCGTGTGAGCGGATGAAGAATTAGGTCATCGTGGATTATAAGGCAGAAACTCTAATGATTCGGAAGCTCAGAATCTGTGTGTGATTTTTGTTACGTTCGAATGAATTTTCTGAACACTTTCGTTTTTTCGATCGATGTCAAAAATCACACACTCCGATTTCATGTGAGGAATATAGTGCTTTTTCTAGGCCACCAGGAATGGTCTGATATGTACCGAATGTGTTTTCTAAGTCATTTAACATGCTGACCTCACTTATTCGCAAATTGAGTTGTCTAAGCCACCATGGTAAATGGCCTAGAACACGAACCAGGTGATTAGAAAAAAAATGACCTGAAAAACGGACCAGGCCATTATTGGACCATTTACCATCGTGGCCTAGGAAACTCAACTTGCCGAAGTTAGACCACCTTGTTAAAAGGCCTAGAACGTTTGCGTTTTCGAAAAATGGTTCGAACAAATTTTCAAACTTTTTTGAAAATAAAAAATTCTAGAGAATCTTAAAAGTCTGAAAATCTAAAAATTCTGCAGTTCTAGTCAACTAATTATTAGAATCTTCCCAGTCAATCCCCAGTTTTGAATACCATACCTGTGAATGATTGGTTTCTTTGGAATCTTGAAGAAGCACGGTCTGTCGTCGTGTAAGAATTGAAGGCCATCAAGCATCGTGAGAATAAGCCTATAGCACAATGTTGGATTGATAATGTTATGCTTCAGCATTTCATAAAGACTGAGTCTCTCCTGGAACTCTGTCACAATCCAATATTCATCTCCAATCCTCTCTGCACAAACGAACGGAACAATCGCCGAATACCATTTTCCATAAGAGTGTAGCTCCTCGAAAATCTTTTTCTCAGCCTCATAATCTCTTCGATTGGCCTCCATGATTTTTTTCACCGCCACTATTTTCACCTCTCCCGAGTCACAAACCCATTTCGCACGAAAAACTTTTCCGAAGCTGCCGAAACCAATTCTCTGCAAAAAAAATTGAGACGGATGAGAAAAAGCAGTTGGTGTCAGAATGTGTGGGAAATCACGGGAAGTGGGGTTTTCCGGGTTGGTTGAAAAAAAAACTAAGTGTTCGGAGTTCAAAAGAATTCTTGAACACTTGAACTCTTTTACTGATCGGTTGGTTTTCAAAAATAACGTAAACACTCTAATATAACGCCACCCAAACTGTCAACTTTGACCCCATATATCTTCTTTCCTGTAAAAGATATCAAAAATTGGTTAACTGACAAAATGGTTATCATTATATCAGCAACCATTTATTAGTTAACCCCATTTTGATACCTTCTACAGGGAATGAGATACACGATTACCATATCTTTTTTACCATATCTTTTTATACATGGGTTCAAAGTTAGAAGTAGGGGTGACTTTCCACTACAGTGTTTACTGCACATTTTAGACAATTGTGGGAAAATAGATAAATTCAAAGCCCTGAAGCTCAGACATGTCTACTAAATGTCTGTTTTTTCTTTTTAAATTTTTTTAGTTAACTTTTTTCAAAATTTAAATTCCTAAACGTCAGTTATTTTCAGACTTACCACAAAATCAGTGATTGGCAATTCTTTTGGAGTCTCAACCATCTCGAACGACTCTCGATCCACGAGCGGGCGATTCCCGTTCTCCATTGCATTCGTTTTCTCCTAAAAAACCATATTTTCAAAAACCTACAGTAATCCCAACAACGCTTACCATATCTTTATATTTCTTCTTAATCTTTCCACACCCCGTATACAAGAAGCAGGCGAGTCCGAGAACAGCCGCAACGATAATAATCACGCCCAAGCAGATTAAAAGCTGGAGATAGCCAGCTTGTTGAGCTGCAAAATTTCGAACATTTTTTTTCAGAAAGTTTCAATAGCAAACGCGCTCTATTGATAGACAGAAATCAGTTGAAAGTATTGGAGGCAGTAGGCTTGTAAACGTGCTCTACCATAATCAGTTTCTGAGAAATCTACCGAAATATACGGTAGAGGGCGTCCGCAAGCCGTCCGTTTTCTAAATTTAATGAATTAGTAATCCCTGAAACATGCCCTCAATAAAGCGCGTTTCCCGAAATGTTAGTTTTCCCAATGGGTACGATAGAGCGCATTTTCCCACATGACAAAAATAATGTACCTAGTTGTTGTAAAAATGTGGGCGGTGGACGCGGCGTTGGAAACAAGATGTTCCTGGTTTCTTCGGATTCTGAAATATTTCCCATCGTGTGTGCATTCGGTTTTATTCAGTTTGTTGCTTTGTGCGGTGTGAAAAAAAATGGAAAAATTATAGAACAGAACAAAAAGTGGAAAACCATTGCAGTGGGTGGAAACAGAGATACGGTGAAAAAATTCTAATGACCAAGCATGCGTATTTTTACACAAAAAAACGAGATAAAGCTGGTGGTGGCAAGGGAAAAAGTATAGAAACAGAAGAAAGGGTATTACAGTAGTCTTTCTGGGAAAGCAGCAAAAATTTGGGTGGAAAGAAATGGGTGGTTGTGAAGTGGTGCGTGTTTCTGTGCTCACTGACCCTTTAAGACGTCTGGATTCAGATGATGGAGGTCGCCCATTGTGTTACAGTTGTCTGTTGTACAACAACACGTGGCAATTGTGTTGCGAGTGAGACGAGATTGTTTGCACTGAAATTTAAGGTATATGTTAAGCATTCAGGTACAAATTCGGAGCAGTAGCCGCTGCCGAAGGTCCCATAACGATAACTACCATAACCAAAAAAATATTCTTTCCCTGTTTATTTTCTCGTTTTTTACTACTTTTCGTCAATATTTCTGTCATTTCCTCCGACCTTTTTAGACCTTTTAATGTTTTTCAGCTATTATCAAAGATTCGTTATCGATTTTTCCAGTTTTTTTCGTTTTAAATTTAATGAAACGGTGGTTGATTACTGTAGATTACTGTAGAAATAGAATATCCCTTCGTAGTTTTTTTTTTGCAATCACAATCATTGTCTGCATTTTGACGTGATTTTGGTTGCAAAAAAACTACAAAATGCAAGGGTTTCTACAGTAAGCTTCAGTAATCTACAGTAATCAAACACTGTTTCGTCAAATTTCAGACAACAAAAACCGGAAAAATCGAAAAATAATATTTTAAAATAGCTGAAAAAACCTAAAAAGGTCTGAAAATGTTGAGAAATATCGAAGAAAAAAATTTGTTGTTCTCGATTTATTCTATCATTACCCACTGTTTTCGTCGATTTTTCTGTTGTTTTCCGCCATTTATATCGGAATAATAGACATTTAAAAAAGAAACGGAAACTGTTCAAAAAAAAAAAAGAATCGATTTGGCTACTTTTCGAACTGAAATAGCGAAATAATTGTAAATTGTTTTGTATCTCATCGGAGAGCCCATAAAGTTTTCTTCAATTCTATATCACTTTTATATTTCTAGGTAGAAACTGAAGCAAGTTATGTGCCTTAAAGTTGCCCAGAGAACGAGGCGTCTCGCAGTCTGCGCTCTCTCATTTAACACAATGTCTTGCAAATCGATATTCTTGACCTACCATTGTTGGATGGTTACAATCAGCGACTTCTGCTGACTGAAAACTCATGCATCCTAACGTTTTGACCGTTGCAGCTTCGACTGGCCAGTGCTTCTCGCTGGAGTTGGTCTAAAAAAGTTTTTTGTGTTATTTTATCTTACTTTCATTAGAGCGCATTTTCTTCATTCTTTGTACTCAGGTGTCCACTTTCAATGAAGCCCCGTTTTTTGTATCAAGTTACATCTATGGAAATTTCTAGAGCCGCCCGGTCATCCGTTTCCCTCGATTCTTGAAACTTAATTTTAGATGTTTATGACATATTAGATTATTGTTGGCCTAAAGAAAATTTTTCTTGGCGATGAAAATTGTTTCTAAAGCCCTCATGACCTCCCTTTTGAAATCGCACTTTATCCTTCGATTCCTCATCTAATCCCTAGTTTCGAAACTATTCTTATCCTGATAATGTATTATCACTGCTAATAGGATTGCTAATCTGAAAAGAGCAATAACAAAATGTTGTTATTCAGAATTCAACTACAGAATTTTATAAAGAAAATCTACAATTCCTTTTTGAGTTCTGTTCTTCAACCCAAAGAAGTCAAAAGTCAGATGCTCCTTCCTTCCCCTCAGCGTCATTCATGAATAACAAAACAATATAAAAAAATATGCTTGCATACTTACTGAATAGAAATGAAAAAAACATACCACAAGATCCTTTGGAAATTCAAAAACTGCAACGCATCCTATGAAACTCAAATGGCCAGAAGGACGACAGGTGAGAGTGGTGACGTTGCATTTTCCTTGTTCTCTACACACAACTTCATCGTAGTGCTGGAAAAATGTAATTTTTAACAGAAATAGACTAGGCCAGTCTAGCGCTTCCATTTTGCCGGAAAGTTTAGCTGGCCGAATGACCGCCGACCCACTCGACCGAACTCTTGCTTTTGCGCGTCAACATGCCAGTGTTTGCGTCCGCAGCATTTTTTGGCCTTCAATGCTGCGTACGCAAACACTATCTGACATTCGAACGCGCAAATTCGGGCAGCTCGGTCGGCGGTCGGCTATTTTCACCCGACCAGTCCGCGACATTTCTAATAGTTCTGATCATTTCTAAAAATTATAGTGACATTTGTAGAACTTGTTTACGGGAGGAATTGACTACTATCATTCAAACGTCATTCGAAACAGAAAAGAAATGCAAAATTTAGAAGATGACATCAATCAAAGTTGTCAAGGACCACAGTAGCCATGCCTACCTGACACTCAAGAGTTGGCCCGTCTTCTTCTTCTTCTTCTTCTTCGAAATTCGGAACCTCCTTCTTTTGAATAACTGAAGCCTGCAATGGTTCTGGCAGCTGAAACTTTTGTGTAGTTGTCACTAGATCGGGCATCAGTGGTCGAGGATTACTCGCCAACATTTTGCCCGTTTGGTTGTCTTGTTGTACGTCGACTCGGCTGATCACATTGTTCAGCCACTGAAAATTCGAATCTCGTAGAAAAATGAGATTGTAGCGGATTTTGGAATTATTGAATTTTGAAGATTTTATTTAGAATTAGTCAGATTTGGGAACAGCAAAATATAAGTCAATTTTCCCAACTGGACTGAAGACTTTCTTCTGAAATCATCAAAATACCGTAAGCACTCTTGTAGAGAGTCACTCAAGTGGTCAACTTTGAGCTTAATTATCTCGCTTAATGTGAGAGATATCAAAAGTTTGTCAACTAATAAAATATTTGTGATATTATAATAAACACTTTATTAGTCGACTTTTTTTTTGATATCTTTTACAGGAAACGAGATATACGAGCTCAAAGTTTACGGTTTGGGTGATACTCTATTAAAGAAAATACAGTAGTATTAGTTCTCCCGAGAGTATCAGCAGCGCTTCTAGTCTACACCGTGTCTTACTACCTGGTATACCAAAGTAAGATACTCACGTGAAGCTCAGCTTGCTCCGCTTGGAGCCGTTCGTTACGCACCTCGACTGGAACTGGCTCGCGTGATGAGACCGAAGGGATATCATCCGCAATGATTACATGGAGTAGGGCGAAAAATAGGAATAGGCTTCTCCGCCACTTGAGTTTAACTGTACCCCTTTCGACCATCACTGAAATAACATTTTGAAATTGTTGCAGGAAATTTAGTTGGAAGAAGAAGAAATGAGTTGGTAAGGGCGGGGGAAATGAGAGAATAGAGAATAGAAGAGGAGAAGGAAGAAAGGGAGCAATATTTATTTGGGTTCTCCTTATCACTTGTTCTGAAATGCATCTTGTTGCATCTAGATAGAGGAATAGAAGCGGAACCCATGAACACTGCACTGAATGCATGCTGCTCTCGCTGCTCTTTTATCGGGGGAGGGCGAAGAGGGCGGAGCCTAGAGTCAAGCTTTTGCTAGGAGGACCTCTGAACGGAGAGGGGCGGAGCATTGGAGAAGAGAAGAAGAAGTAGAACATCTGCTTGGACCATTGTGTTTGTTAGGAAGAGGAAGGGAAGGTAATTAAGATAATTGGGATGAGGGGATGATGTAATTTAGAGTAGGGGAAAATTATAAAAATGAGGAAGATCTAGGTCAAAAGTGGGCTGTAGATTAATAAATGGTACCCAAACAGGTGGTTGAAGGTCCCACAAACCTAAAAATATTTTTATTTCCATGATTCATTTACTCGATTCTCACTGCTTTTCGTCAAATAATTTTCTTCCAAAAAAGTAGGAAAATTAAAGTTTTTGATACTAATAAAATTGCCAGAAAATGAACGAAAATCGAAAAAATAAATGGTTTTTTTCGTCGATTTTTCGCAAAATTTTTAGACCTTTTTAGGTTTTTCAGCTATTTTCGAAGATTTTTTTTTCGATTTTTCCGGTTTTTGTTGTCTGGATTCCGAAGGAACGGTGTTTGACTACTGTAGATTTCTGTAGAAACCCTTGTGTTTTAAAAAACTGCAAAAGGAAATTAGGTTTCTACAGTAATCTACAGTAATCAAACACCGTTCCATCGAATTTCAGACAGAAAAAACCAAAAAATCAAAAAAGAACCTTTGAAAATAGCTGAAAACCCTCTAAATGTCTGAAAACTTTGTGAAAAAATTCAGTTTTTCCTTCGAAAATTCGCGGAAATAAATCGCTAATTTTTGAAACTGTTAAGTGCGTTTTTCAAGTTTACAAACTACAAAAATCCTTCACAAAATATGTTTCGTAGTACATTCTGGGAATTTCAGAAGAAGAATGGGTTTTCAGATTAATATTTCTACAGTGTACTTTTCAATATCCTACAGTATACCCGCGCACTACCCTACCTTCCTAAAAGATATACAAAGCTCAAAATTCCAACCACCCCCTCGTGTCCTTGTTCCAGGTACCGATTTGGGCGGAATATGTGTTTTCTTTTAATCAAAAAAGCGCGGCATAGGCCTTTTTGCCCAGAAAAGCAAAACATAGAAAAAACTGGAAATGAGAAAATTGTTGAGTCGAGAGTTTCCAAGGTTTCCGATGAAAGTGGGAAAATTGAAAGGTACTTTTTTGGGGGATGGCAGTTCCAGGTACGAAGATTAAGTATAGAGCAAACGGCAAATGGATATGGAAATGGAAAATTGGATAGGAGATTAGCAATATTCGAAAAAAGGGGATTGATGTAGTCCTTCGAAATACTGGAGGTGGGATAAAACTAATCCGAATAAAAAAGTGACGGATGGCAAGATTAGGAACGAAACTCTAACAAACTACAGTAGTCAATTTAATGAAACTTCTTCAAACGAAAACTACAGTAAACTGAACAATAATTTTTTAAACAGATGTTCTCTCTTACAAATATCGAATTTAAAAAAAATCGAAAAACTTATTTTCAAGTTCCGGTAGTTTTTGTTCTGGGACTTGTGGATAGGTTTAGATACTAATTCAACAATTGAATCTACCGTAATCCAACTATTAAAAACTACAGTAATTCGAAAATTCAGATCTGAAGTAAAGCAAAATCGCTACTTGAAAATATTTTTCTGAAATTTTTCAGTTGTTGAAATTTCTAATTTTCTCAGTTTTTGGAAATTTCTGAATTCTTTAAAATCCGAATTTTTAGGAATTCTAAGTTTCTGAATTTTCTCATTTTTTGATTCTAAGTTTCTGAAAATCTGAATTCTTCTAGTGCTTTATGTCAGAATTTGTAGAGAATGATGGCTAAGTTCAGATGAGCGACGTGTCGCTGAGAATCCTAAAGTAAGAACTGCCTAGTATTTTGGCTACAGTAATCCATCAATGACCGCACTCTCTAATTGCCACCACTTAAAGCTATAGCTCAATTTCCTTAATGTACATCCCCCGAAAGAAAATTGAGCATCCACTTTCTGCTCAATTTGCTCTTCCCCCATTTACCTTCACGTCATCTAACATAGATGTCATTTTCCTCTTTTCAGGTGAATTTACATTTTCAAGTGTCACATTGAATCTCTTTTCAAGAAAAACAAAGAACTGAAAATTTGTAATAAGAGCAAAAGGACTTGAACAACATTTCTGGGGGGAGTAAACAACTCTAGAAATGAGATTTTCGGGGTTGCCAAACAACCAAACAAGATTTTTTTTTTTTGGGAGGGAATATGTGAGAAACTTTTTCTCTCTGCGGGAGAGAACTACATGTGACATATGGCACACCAAAACCAAAGTTCTTGAGCTCTTTCAGGCATAAAACTGTGGAGAAAAAGTTCTAGAGTTCTAGATAGATTCTAATTAGATGTTTCACGGACAAAGTTTCTTTATTAGCTTCAACATCAAACATTTGAAAACAGAAATTTAGAGAAAATTTGGGAAAAGGTTGCGTACCATATTAGAAGAAGATATGAATCGGAAGTGAGATTGAAACAAATTTTTTGGTCAAAAAAAAGAAAAGAGAGAAAAATATTCGGAGAGGGGAGTGGTTTCGGAGATGTTGCGTAAAAGATTCAGAAGATTGATAAGAACACGGAGAAGAAGTGATTTGATATGGGATGATTGTTGTGAAAGACCACCAATAAAGAAGGTAGGTTGGAGAGTAATCAAGAAGGCTAAAAGTTGTATTCTGGAAACTTCTTCAAAATCCAGATTGCTGAGAATAGGCTTTAAAAGTACAGTACCCCTTCGTGGTGATTCTTTGAAATTCTAAAAAGATCGCGTGCCCAGAGAGCATCCGGAAGTTTGACATTTAAAGACTGGGACACTAATTAATGCTGGGTAATGGGTTTGTACTTTTTCAGAACTGGACTTTCTAGAACTTCGAGCCATGGGGCTAGAGAGGAGACGGAAGGAAACTACAGTAATCCCCTAGAGATTTATTTCGGTTTTGACTCCAAACTTCGGAGTTGATAAAGAAGGCGGAACTGAAAACTATTGGGCTGGGAATTTTTGGAAAACTAGAGAAAATCGAAAAATGTGTGTTTTTGAGGAAGAAATACAGTATTGCAAAAAAAAGTTGCAGTATTCCATATTCGAATTATTATTGAAAAGTTAACTGACAGCAACATGCTGTACTTCTTCTAATAGGAACACATCTAAATCATCAACTTTGATCTCAATTTTCTCGATTCTTGTAAAAGATATCAAAACTTTGTCAACTGATGAAACAGTGGTAATATTATGATTAAAAATTTATTAGTTGAATATTTTTTGATATCTTTCACAGGAATCGAGATAATTTAGCTCAAAGTAGACGATTTGTGTGGGCTCAAGAAGCTAAATAATCAGAATCAGATGGAATGCAGATCTATCTTGATTACTGTAGTTCAGAATCAGTTTTTTGACCTCCTATATTCCTTTATCACGAGATATCTTTTCAATTCTTATGATAAAAGTGCTAGAAGCTGTAAACGGCTTCTTCTTCAAAACAAGAAGACTATTTTTGAACACGTGGATACCAGTGTGTACGTGAGAAGTGGAAGAAGAAGAGGGATATGGAGAGAGAAGAAGAGGAATTTTTTGCAGCGGCTTTTATATGAACGGATCAGAAAAATAAAGAGAACTATGGAATCAAAGATTGAAAAGATAGGACACGGAAGCATAGGGCAGTTACAGTAATCGTTTACTAGATTTCAAGATTGCTGTGGAATCGAAAATATGAATTTTATGACTAGAATTTAGCGTTTTTTAATCAAAATATTTCAACGAATCCAAATCCAGAATGCTTTGATTTGACAAAAGTCACACTACACTAATCCCCTAAAAGTATTCGTGCACTTTTGAACATTTTTTTCAAGCACGTCAGAAAATATCCAATTGAGGGACTGGATCAAGAAAATGGATTATTTGATTTGTCTTCCCTGAAAAATTGCGATAAGTAAAAATTGGTGAAATGAGGGATTATGAAAAAAGGCATTACATTTGAGCCAATAGTTCTGAAAATGTTCAGGAAGAGAAAACAGAAAATGAGCTAAATTATTTTTTGTTGACTCTCTTTCTCAATTATCTGGGTTCCTATGGAAGATATCAAAGTTTTGTCAATTAATAAAATATTGGTGGGATTATGATAAATAATTTATCAGTTTACATATTTTTAATACCTTTGACAGGAATTGAGACAATTAAGCTGAAAGTTGACAGTTTCTATCTGAGCAAATATGGTTTAAGTGGTGAGGCTCTTCCTGTTCTAAGCGGCATATCTTAATTGGACGAACTTTTTCAGAAAAGTTGTCAACTATATAATTCAAATTTTGTTTTTGCTTGGTATACTTGAAACCTTTCACAGATTTATTGGGTCAATTCTGATACTCTAATACCTCTAATAGAAGTGCCCCCTTCCATACTGTCAAGTTTGAGCCCATATATCTCGTTTTCTGTCAAAGATATAAGAAAGTTGTTAACTAAGAAAATATTGGTGATATTATGATAAACAATTCATCAGTTGAAAACTTTTTGATATCTTTCACAGAAATTGAGATAACTGAGCTCAAAGTTATTAGGATGGTAGCCGACCGCGAAACTTAGCCGACAAGGGCTGAATTGTCAACTTTAAGCTCAATTATCCCGGATTCGATGGAAGTTATCAAAATTTTTCTTTAAAATTTTTTTTTAATTGATAACATTTTGATGATATTATGATAAACAATTTATCAGTTGACAACTTTTTGATATCTTTTACAGGAACCGATAT